AAAAAAATTTAATAAAATGATATTTATTTAAATTTAAAATATAATTAATACATGTGATGTAAATTATTTCTATTTTTATTATGATTGAATGTTTTTGTTGCTAAATTCGATGATAAGATCCATTTTATGTTCCAACGAATCTGTTTCGTTATATACTATTTTAAAATTCTTTAACGAATTATCTATAAGTTCTTTAATTTTTTCAAGATTGTTATGTTTGATAAAACCATTAAGTATTCTATTAGATGCACTTATTTCTTCTACTTTTTGTTGTATTTTATTTTCGAAATCTTGTTCTTTCAACTGTTTATTTTCATTGATAATTTGTTGATTATCAAAGTCTTTTTTTTCATAATCATCTTTTTCTTTTGACAAGTTTTTAATTTCTTCTCATAATTTATTGATGAGTTCTTGAATTTCTTTGATTCTTATTGATAAGAAGTTCATTGGTAGTTTTTGCTAATATCTTCGATTAAGCTTAACCTGTTTTCTAAAGTGGGATGGCTTATTATTTTTTTAAAATTTTTTAATACGATATCAGCTTTTTGATTTAAAATTTCTACTCTTTTTAATACTTCGATGTTAATTATTTTTTCTTTTTCAATTTGTTCTAATTTATTATTTAAAGTTCTTTCCAAGGATTTGTAATCATATTCTAGATTCTTTAATTTTTGATTAATTTCTTTGTTTTGTTCATAATCTTTATTTTTATCTTTATACTGGAAGATTTTATCTGTTAGAATAGTTTTTTCTTGTTTTAGATTATTTAAAATTTGTTGAATTCTATTTAGTTCGCCAGAGCTGAATGACATTTTACTTATAACGAAAGAAGAGTTTATTTATTTTATTTATAGAATAAATAAAGAAAATTAATTTTGATTGATTTGTGTGACATCATTACATAATTTTACAATTTTTTCCATTTTTTCTAAAGTATTGTTTAGTGGAAACAATATTTCAAAGTTAAAATTAGCTAAAACGATATCTATTTTTTCATCCAAGATATCAAATATTTTTTGTTTTTCTTCATACTGATTTCTTTCTAAATCAATTTCTTTTACTATTTGTTCCTTTTTTATAGTTAATCTTTCATTTTGATATTTAGCAACTTCGTTTTCTTTTTGTAATTCTTGATTCGTTTTTAATAGGTTTTTATATTGACTGTCTTTTAAAATTTGATTGTTTTCGGTTTCTATTTGTTTGTTTTCTTGTTTTAATTTATCTATTTCATTTTGAATTTGCTGTAATTTAGCGGAAATCATTGTTGAATTTTTTTGAGATTTTCACTAGTTAAAACGATTTTATCTATTTTATTTATATTGGAATTTGAAGAAATAAAATTAATTTTTAAAATGATTAAACTGTTATCTATTTTTTTATCCAGATTTTCCAATGTCTCTGTAATTCCTTTGTTTAGTTGTTTATATTTGAACAAATTATTTTTATATGTAAAAAAAACAAGTTCATCATTTTTTTCCGTTAATTCTTTGTTTTCTTTTACGAGTTTTTCATTTTCTTCGGTCAATCTTTTACATTTTTCGTCAATGTTTTGTAGATTTTTGTTTTCGTTTTTAAGGGTTTCGTTTTTATTTTTTAAAGTTTCTAATAATTTTACAATATGGTTTATCTCACCAGAAGATGTCATTTTGTTTATTTTATACATGAACAATATTGTATTTTATTTATATACTAATTAACTTTTTTAATTTCCATACTAACCGTGCCGATTTTATCTATTTTAGTTTCTAGATCACTAGTAC